AGCTTGGGCTAAGATTCTGATCAGCAAAGAATGATTGGGGTGCTTGTGGCAACCTTTGAGCGTGGCTCTGAAGCAGCAGCCCAAGATCAAAACTCTTGGTGTCTTAAGAAAACCTGCTCCTCCTAGTTCTACAGGGGCAGGGGTGGCATGATGACATCATGGCTCCTACAGAGTGACTCTGCCTTGGGCAGCGGGGGATGTGAATCAAGGGGCTGGGGGAGCAGAGCAGAGCCAGCATGGGAGGAGATCATGGCTTGACCCAAAGCTGGTTGGAGGTCCAGAAACAGTGGTTCAGTGTCAGGAGCTGGGCGGTGACACTTCCCCCTCTGTGCCACTGTGGCACCAAGAGCTCTGGATGTGGTTATGGTGTCTTCATTGGGGATCTTGGTGCTGGGAGAGGGCTGCTGTCATGGTGGTTGGCCACTAGTGCAGGCCAGGCAGGACTTGACTGTGGACCACAACCCTCCATCCCTCCTTTTGGCAGGAGTGCTGAGCGTCCCGCCCAGCCTGGGCAGCCAGGGCACTGAGCAGGCGGGAACAGACCAGCAGCTGCTCTTGGCCATTGTTGGCTCTGTGTCCGTCACTTGCTTCACCATCCTCTTTGCTCTCCTGGCACTTTTCCTCATCAAGAAGAACTTTTTCCACCGGCGCCGCACCTTTACGTACCAGTCTGGCTCGGTGAGTGCCGCCTGCCCCGCCAGGACCGTGTCCCCTGCTCCCCAGGTCCCAGCCCGATCCAGGTCACGTTCCATAGCCTCCAGCCCGGATGCAGCCAGACCTCACTTCCACACGGAGAGGGTGCGGAGCCCACCCTTGCCCATGACTCCTGTCCTGCTGGGACTGCCGCGTGGGCGGGCAGGTGCCCGGTGCCTCTAACCTCACCTGCTTCCATCTGCCAGGGGGAAGAGACCATCCTACAGTTCAACTCAGGGACCCTGACCCTCACACGCCGGCCCAAGCCGCAGCCTGAGCCCCTCAGCTACCCCATCCTGGAGTGGGAAGACATCAAGTTTGAGGACATGATCGGGGAGGGCAATTTTGGGCAGGTAATCAGGGCCATGATCAAAAAGGACGGCCTGAAAATGAATGCAGCCATCAAGATGCTCAAAGGTGAGTGTTGGGGGAAGGAGGCAGGGTGGGCTGACTGCTGCAGCTGTGTCCTGGGCCATGCTTGTGCTGGGGAGCATCAGGACTCTTTTGCAGAGAAGCAGAGGAAAGGCTCCTGTTGTAGCCTGAGGTGTTCATCCCTTCTTTGCTTCCAGAGTTTGCTTCAGAGAATGACCATCGGGACTTTGCCGGGGAGCTGGAGGTGCTGTGCAAACTGGGCCATCACCCCAACATCATCAACTTGCTGGGTGCCTGTGAGAACAAGGGTGAGAGCTGTCCCATTCTACCCTGTCCCACAACCTCTGCCCTTGACTCCTCTATTCCTTTCTGCTGGGGAGAGCCCCAGTAGCCCAACCTCCTCCTGCCCCCCAGGCTATCTGTACATTGCCATTGAGTATGCTCCATATGGAAACCTCCTCGACTTCCTCCGCAAAAGCCGAGTCTTGGAGACAGACCCAGCCTTTGCCAAGGAGCATGGCACTGCCTCCACCCTCACATCCCAGCAGCTCCTCCAGTTTGCTTCAGATGTGGCCAAGGGGATGCAGTACCTGAGTGAGAAGCAGGTACATCCCAGCAAGCCCCTCAGATCACCCTCTCCTTGAGGCCTGGGGGTTCCCCACGGAGGCATGAGGTCCCTGGGACCAGCAGAAGGAAGCATGTAGCTCCTGCTAACTGCTCTTCCTTTTCAGTTCATTCACAGGGACCTGGCAGCAAGAAACATTCTGGTGGGAGAAAACCTGGCCTCCAAAATTGCCGACTTTGGCCTCTCCAGAGGGGAGGAGGTCTATGTGAAGAAGACAATGGTGAGCCAGGAGTGAAACATCCCCATGGGGCCTGCACCAGTGTGGTGGGCAGGATGCCCACCATTGGTGTGACCGACCCACCATGGTAGGACTGGCTGGATCACAGCTGTCTTCCCCCCAGGAGGCACTCCTCCAGCCCTGATGGTGGCTCTCTCTTTCCCCAGGGCCGTTTGCCAGTTCGCTGGATGGCCATCGAGTCCCTCAACTACAGCGTATACACCACCAAGAGTGATGTGTAAGTGCTGCAGGCAGGGGCACCGGGTTTGGGCATGGCTGTGGCCGCCTCCACCCCCTCTGGTGCAGTCACAGAGGCAATGCTATTGCTCTGGATGCTGCAAGGGCAGGAGGTGATGCTGGTGCATCTTCCTGAGGAGCTGCTGGCTCAGCCCAACCCCTGGCTGCCTGTTCCACCCTGGGCTTTGCCCTGTGCCCATCAGCAAGGCACAGCTGGGCACTCTGTCACAGCCTTGGCTCCTCTCCTTTCAGGTGGTCATTCGGTGTCCTGCTCTGGGAGATTGTCAGCTTGGGTAAGGCTCTTCCCTGTCCCCTGCCTTCACTCGGGTCCCTGTAGGTCTGGTTATCCTGGGGCCCTGGGGGGAACACCCTAGGGACTGTCACCTCCTCAGGCTCTGGGTGTCTCTGGCTGCAGGGGGGACACCGTACTGCGGGATGACGTGTGCCGAGCTCTATGAGAAGCTGCCGCAGGGATACCGCATGGAGAAGCCGCGTAACTGCGACGACGAGGTGTAAGTGGACAGAGCCTGGGCTGGTGGTGGCACCCACGTAACCTAACCCCACTGCCCCACAGGGCTCGCACCACCTTCCAGTAGCTTCTGCCTGGTTGCCTCTGCATTGTGGCTGAGGAATGGGCTGGGGTCCCACACCCAAACACCTTTCCTCGGCTTTAGTTTCCTGCCTGCTTCCCCCATCTCCCACAAGGAGCTTTTCCGTCCCGTCTCCTCATGTGCTCACTGAGCCGCCCACGACTCTCCGCCCCCAGGTACGAGCTGATGCGGCAGTGCTGGCGGGACCGCCCCTACGAGCGCCCTCCCTTCGCCCAGATCTCCATGCAGCTCATCCGCATGCTGGAGGCCAGGAAGGTGAGTGGTGGTAGCAGAACCATGTATGGGGGTTAACTCCACCATCACTTTTTGGGTGCAGGGAGACAACAGGGCACAGTGCCCGTGAGCATGCTAGTGGGGACAGGAGATAGATGTGGACATGCTCACAACCGGCTCCTAACTGGGGTTCCCCCACAGGCCTACGTGAACATGGCCCTGTTCGAGAACTTCACCTATGCGGGGATTGATGCCACCGCCGAGGAGGCGTGAGGCTGCGCTGGCCCCAGCCTGCTGGAACAGTGCTGTGGGGACAAGGGGCTGCTCATCCTCTCCAGGGCCAAGCAGCCAAATGGCAGTGCCCCTTCTCAAGAGTGCCTTCCCTGCAGCAGGACTGTGCCATCCCCTCCCTGGCATGGTGCCAGCCACTAAGAGCCCCACACTGTTGGGACATGCTGGGGTGGCCCCCAAGGACAAGCAGCAGCAGGGTGCTGGCAGCAGAGCAGGCAGGAGAGGGCCTCCCTCAGAAGCCAGGGTACTGCCTAAGCCCACGGACACAAATGCTCAAGCTTTGGGTGAGAGGAGGAAGCAGCAATACAACTGCAGCCCTCAGCATGCTCTGAGCCTGAAATGGTGCCAGGGGTTGTGAGCAGCGCTGCTGGCATGGGATGGGGCCACCTTGCTGGGTGCAAAAAGACAATGATGGCTGTGCACAGCATTCAGCTCTGCAGTGGCCCTTTGGAGATGTCAGCTCTGCCTTATGGACAATAAAGATCATGCAACAGCTGGGTCCAGAGGAGTGTTGGTGGGGACCCACCTCTGCCCCACTGATGGGGAACAGGATCTGCTGCTGTGGTGGGCACTCCTCAGAATCCTGTTCCCACTGGGGTCCTGTGATAATCTCCAGGAATGTCCGAGCATTCCCAGACAAGTCCCGGGTCTCATCATGGTATGGAGATGGGTTTTCTTAGGATCCAACTGGGATCTTTTCCCACATACACAATTTAAGATTTGGTCTTGTCCCCAAACGGATATGGAGAACAGACTATGTCCTTCCTATGCACAGCTGCCTCTTGCATGCTTAAAAATTGTTCCTGCAGCTTCCCCTCAGCTGGTTGGTCTTTAAAGGATGGCCCTGCTCCTCCAGCTGGGTCCTGTGCTCTTTGGTGTGAACTGCAGCTCTGCCCCATCCCTGAGGTCCCCAGTGAATCAGTGATGGGGACTGGCCCTCACAAACAGCCTGATACATACCACTTCTTCTGCACCCTCTCTGCTCCCAGCTGGGGACAGTGTCTGGGGCAGTGTCACCAGTCCTGCTTACACCTAGGTCTTCTTTTTTTGACAAAATTTGTCTGTGGCAAGTTGGGGCTGGCACAGCTCTTCCCTCAGTGCCTCTAGTGCTGTCCTCAGCTGCTGGGCTTGGAGAAGCAAACCTGGCCTTGGTGCACAGGGGACACATGCAAGTGGCTCCTTGTGCCCTGGCTGGTGCTCCCTGGGCTGTGCAATAGAGCTGTGCCCTGGCAGGGTGGGAGATGCTCCAGCACCAGAAGTAATGCACTGGTTGAGCATGACTGTGGCCCTGCTCCTGCACCACCAGCACTAGCACCTCTGAGGGCTTTGCCCCCTGTGCCTGCAGCTCTGCTCCCAGCACAGCCACAGAGACAGTGCTGCTGGCAGAGCAGACCTGGAGTACACCGGTGCCAGGTGGCACAGGACACCATGGAGGCAGATCAGCTGTGCCACATCCTGTGCTCCCATGTGGCAGCAGCCCCAACAGCCTGCCCTGCCCCACACAGGGGCCTCCCTAGTTTCTTGGGGGTTGTTTTTCTTCCTACCCCATCCTCCCAGCATGCCAGTAGCCACAAGGGCAGGAACATGCCGCCTATCTGATAGGAGCAGTCTCTCTTGGCACTGTGGCCAGCGGCAGAGGGGCTGTGGCCTTGTGGTTTCAGGCACAGGGAAGTGCTGGTGATGGGGTGGGGGGAGCCCCCAGCCAGGCTTCCTGAGCTGCACAGCCACCACTTCCCAGATAAAGGTATTGCCTGGAGGAGCCGCAGCAGCTCCCAGGATACCGGGAAGGGACGAGTGCGGCACGCGTGGCTCCGGCACACAGGTTGCAGGATGGCAGCCTGCCTGTGCCAGGGCTGGCAGCTCTCACTGCTCCCTGCCATTCTGCTCAGCCTCCGCAGCCCACCATCAGCCCCTGAGCCAGTGACATCCCAAGGTAGGTCCTTGGGGCTATTTTCTCCCCCAAAGGATGGGCCAGAGAGCAGCTAGAATGTCAGGTGTGGGCAGCGAGCACCTCACAGCAGCCAAAATCTATGGGATTGGGAAAGGGGCATTCCAGGAGGGTGTGCAGGGAGTGTTCCAGGAGGGTGAGCAATGGAGTGCACTTCTCACCAGTGGGACACCCTGAGATGCTTGGAGTAAAGGAACATCTATGTTCTTTGCAAGCAGAGCTTGGCTGCCCATGGGCTGCCCCTGAGATGGCAGCCTGGTGCTCCCAGTCCTGCTCAGGTAGCAGAGGGGCTCCTCACTCATCAGAAGTTCTCAGAGTTATGATGTGATGAGGGTTTGAACAAGACTCAAGTTAACATCTGATGGCACAGCTCTGCACCATGGGCAATGCAGTGGCACTGCCAGGCTAACCCCAGGGCTCCTGCACCAGCCTTGCTGTCATGATCTTACTCTCCTGCTGGACATCCTCATCTTAGCTGATAGCTGGCCCCAGTCTGGCTCACTTGCACCTGCCAGAGCCACTCCCCAACTTGGTCTCATTTCAGAATGAAATCATGCATTCTTTAAGCGCCTCTTTAGCCCCTTTAGAAGTTTCTGTAATACCATAAAAAGCATTAATTGAATAAAACCCTGTTGATCTCCTGCTTGTGTCTCCAGCCCCACCCCAGGTCTCTGGCCAGGACAGACTTGGGAGCACATTTTTAGTCACCCCCATAGGGACAGTGGGACAAGGGTCAGGGTTGGATTCTGCCCACAGCCTCTGCAAAAGGGCTTTGTGCCTTGAGCTCTCCACTGGCTTGGCAGCACTGCCCAAGCATGGCTGGTGGGGGATGCAGAGCTGGGCAGCTGCCCCTCCTAAGAAATGGGCTGTGCTCAGCAAAGATGCTCTGATAGCCCACAGGACCAGGGTGGGCTCCCACTGATGCCATGGGTCCCTGCCCCACCGAGCTGCTGGGACCTGGCCACTTCATCTCCTGGTGCTCAGAGATGGATGAGGCCATGGAGCCAGCATGAGGCCTGGGGTGGGGTAATGGGGGCAAAAAGAGAAGAACAGGTGGGGGGGCTGTGGCAGAGATGGGACAATGGACATGGGGAAGAAGGCAACACAGGGCTGGGAAATGAGGAACAAGGCTGGGGGGGGTCAGGGCAAGAGAAGGGACAGGGTGAGCAGGACACCAAGAATACTTGGGAGCTGTGACTTACTCTTTGCCCAGGGTGGGCTCAACTGGCAGTGCAGGGGTGTGTAGCAGAGAATGGATTTACTCAGCAAATGCAGCGGACATTGGCAGTGGGCTTGTGGGATTCCAAAGCTGGGGGCAACCCCTGGGGAAGGCAGCAAATGCTGGTAGGAAGAGGAGGAGGAAGAGGACTGGAGCAGGTCACAGGGCAGAGGGAGTGGGGGGAGTAGGGACTGCTGGAGCAATGCTGGGGACAGCAAGACCACCCCTGTGCATCACACACCTGCATCTTGGGGCTGTCCCTCTTCCACGACAACAGGGGCAGACACCCATATGTTAGCAGAGCTACCAGTGCTTCAGATAGAGATCCTGCAGGGCATGATGCTGCAGTTTGTCCATGTAATGACAGGGAGCACAGCTTACTGAGGGGGACAGACAAACCCCAGGGGGTTTGGGTATCCCCCCTGCTCAGGATCACATGCCCCCACACCAGCCCCCCAGGCCCTTTCCCTTTCCCTGGGGTGCTGCTCCTCCTTATCTCACTTCCGTGCACCTTCCGGCATGAGCAGGGCAGGGGTGCTTCCCCCTGATCGCTGGGTCCTGAGCTCCCCCCCCCCCGACCGCAGGGCTATTTCGGGATGTTTGTTTGTCCTCAAGGACCTCGTGTACTGAGGAGGGGGCGTGGTGGGGCCGGGGGGAGCCCTGCACCAGCCAGGACCCCAGTGCAAGCCAGCAGCCAGCATGGGCGCCCTGTCCCTCCCCAGTGTGCCAAGCTGGTGGAGAGCACCCGTGCCACGGCCATGCTCAGGCTGCCCCACGTGCCTGAGGTGGAAGCAGGTGAGATGGGGATGGGTTTGTGCCCAGGGGCTCCTTCATGGCCACACTCCTCCAGACGCTGCACTGCTAGCAGGCGTGTCCGAGGACATCCTCTGTTTCTCCCGCTCCTTTGAGGACCTCACCTGCTTCTGGGACGAGGAGGAGACAACAACTGGGATGTGCCACTTCTACTACTGGTACAGCAGGTAGGACATGGTGGGGACACAGCCTCCTCCTTGCCGGACAGAGAACAGTGTGGTCAGGGTGTCTCAGCAATCTGGGCCATCCCAGTGGCTCCAAGCTGCAAGGAGAGATGGAGAGCCCACAGAAGCTATACAGCAGCCGCTGCACACCCTGCAGCAGGGCTGGGGCCTGGCTGTCCCTCAGTCCCATGGGGATGGTGCCCTGCAGTGGATTATGGCACAGGAAAGGAGCTGGTGACACCGAGGTCTCGGTGCTGTGCCCCACATTGCCTTTCCTCAAGTCTGGCTCGAGGCAGGAGGCGTGAGGTGCTGCAAGACCCCACTCTCCATTCCTCAGGGATGTGCCCACAGCGTGCGTGGTCTCCACGTGGCCCCGTGGGGCTGGTGGGAAGCGACATGTCTGCGTCTTCCCCAGCCAGGACGTGCGGCTCTTCACCCAGCTCCACCTCCGCGTCCTGGATGCCACCACAAACCTCACAAAGTACTGGCGGGAGCTCAGCGTGGATGCAGTGGGTGAGTCCCTTTCACTGGGCAATGCCCTGTGACAACAGGACAGTCCCCAGATCTGGGGATCTGGGTCCCCTGACCTTCTGCCTGCCACGGGGGCTGGCAACACCCTGAGCCCTGCATGCACAGAGGCAGCCTGGGAGAAGACTTGCATGCGTCCCCCAGCAGGACCAGGCATTGCCCGGACTGGGGCTGCTGCAGGAGGACAAACACCCTGGCATGTTCTCTGCAGGTCTCATTGCTCCCCCACTGGACATCACTGCCTACTGGGCTGGGGCTGCAGGGCAGCTCTGCGTGTCGTGGCAGCCACCACTCGCTGACTTCCCAAACTTCTTCCTCTACGAGGTGCAGTGCTGCCCTGCCAGCTCCCCAGGGATGCCCTGCAGCACCACATTGAACCCCGGTGGGCAGCACCCTGGGGACCTCTCCATGCAGTCAACTGTCAGCACCCACACGCCCAGGGCAGCCTCCCTGGCACTGGGGCAGGTACATAGAGGGGTCAGGGATTGGCAGGAGGGTTTGGGGCCTGCAGTTGCTCCTCAGCTTGGCCCCTCTCCTGCAGAGGCTTGTCCAGGCCAACACTTGGGTGGTGCTCCGGGACCTGCAGCCAGGGGTGAGGTACCACATCCAGGTGCGCAGCAAACCCGACGGTACCTCCATGGACGGCGTCTGGGGGCCCTGGTCGCAGGCTCTGGCTGCTGAGACACCCCACTCCTCTGGTGAGCAGCCATCCCCTCTGCAGGGGTGCTGGCAGGAACAGCAGGGAGGCACCCACGCCTGGGGCTGCAGGGGGTGGGGTCCTGTTGTAGGCGAGGTGCGACTCCCAAGTTTTGGGGGCCAAGGGGAAGCAGCCCCCTCCCTGTCCTGGCTGTCCCCTGCCCAGGAGACATCGGGCTGTGCTGCAGTACCCCCGACCTGCGGCACGTGCGCTGCGAGTGGAGCTGGGACCCTGCAGAGACCCACAGCTCCCACCAGCTCTTCTACCGGCCACCTCCAAGTGGGGCTGGTACAAGGTAAGGGGCATGGCAGGCAGATGGCACTCAGGCAGCCACATCCCAGGGACCACTGTGTCCCAATATCCCACAGTGGGCCCCATACCCTGCTCTGTCCTGCCCTTCCACCACCAACCTCATACCTCCTCACCACATTGCACCTCCGACTACAAGCAGCAGTAGCTTTCCTGGGCAAGTGCAGGAGGAATGCTGACTGTGGGTATGCTTTGGTGGGACTGACTGGCTCCCCACTCTTCCCACAGGGAACATGCATGGCAACAGTGTGAGGAGGTGAGCAAGGGGGCACAGGGCACCTATGCCTGCACCTTCCAGCCCAAGGCTGGCAGTGCCATCTCCGTCCTGGTGAATGTCACCAGGACCCACATGCTGCCCACACTGAGCTACTTCAAGGAGCCCTTTTGGCTGCACCAGGCTGGTGAGTCCCAGTGCCACCACAGCCCCTGCCTGGCTCACAGGGGACACAGTGTCCCATGCCCCGTTTCACAGGAGCGACACATGCCTGTCCCCAACACCAACAGTGCTCACAGATGCCCCACAGCTTGTGCAGGCAAGAGTGTCGCAGGGCCGGCTGAGCCTGCAGTGGCTGCCGCCCCTGGAGCTGCTGGCAGAGCAGCTGGACTACCAGGTCCGCTATGCCACGGAGAACAGCCATGACTGGAAGGTAAGGCCTGCCCAGGATACCCCGAGCAGCGCTGCCCACCTCCGCTGCTGACACATGGCAGGCGCGGGGTCGGGTAAAGCGGGACCCGCCCCTTGGTGCCACCCCCCAGCAGCCATGCCTCCAGCTCGGCTCTGCCCCGCAGGTCCTGCAGGTTCCACGAGCCGCTAGGAAAGAGGTCCTGGACCTGCGGCCAGGGTCCCGCTACCACGCGCAGGTGCGGGCCCAGCCCAGCGGGCCGTGGTACCAGGGCAGCTGGAGCGCCTGGTCCGAACCCGTTGTGGTTGATGCCGTGGCTGATGCGGGTAAGGGACAGGGCTGGAGGCTGCGGCCACAGGAGCCACACGGCTGACGGCAAGAGGCGGAGAGTGCTGGAAATGGAGTGGGGAGCACGGGGCTCAGAGGTGGTGGGTCTGGGAAGGGCTACAGTTCCAGCGTTCCTCCTCCGATGCAGATGCAGGCTGGCTCATCCCCAGTGTTACGGTGGTGCCGCTGCTCTTCTCAGCAGTGCTCCTGGGGCTGCGCTGCACCTTCCCCTCCCTCTACAGGTAAAAGGCTGTGCCGGGGGCAGGCGGGGGGGGTCCAGCACCAAGTCTGGGCACCTTGCACGAGGCATTAGGGCACCTCAAGTCTGAAGGTAAATTCGATGCCCCTTCCTCCGTACCCAGCAACGTGAAGCAGAAACTCTGGCCGCCCGTTCCTGACCTGCACCGTGCTCTGGGCAGCTTCCTCCAGGAAAGCAGCAAGCACGGCCAGGTGAGGGGATGGGCAGGGCGGCTCAGCTGCTCCCGGGGGCAGCTCGAAGGGCAGCTCCTACCGCGTCCACTCCGTGTCCCCCCAGGTCAGCGCCTTCGACAAGCAGCCGCCGGAGGAGGCCGTCCTGCCCTGCCTACTGGAGGTGCTGCCCGGCCCGCGGCGCGAGGCGGGCCCGCCGCCGGAGCACGCTGGGGGCCGCCTGTCCAGCACCGACATCGCCAACCAGTCCTACCTGCTCATGAGCGGCTGGGAGCCGCGGGCAGCCGCGACCGCCCCCATCCCGCCATAAACTCTGTTCCCTCCCCGAGCACCCGCCTGGTCCCTCCTTCTTCGCCCCGCCCCCAGCCCGGATCGCCCCGCCCTAGCAAGAACGCTCCGCCCCCGATCCCGCCCCCTTGCCGCACGCGCGGAGCGCCCCGCCCCGTCCCGCGACTCAGCCAATCGCGTTGCATCGCGCGGCCGTCGCCTGGCAGCGCGCGGCCGTTGGGTTTGAAGCGGCCAACCGGGGCCCCGTCCGCGCGCCGTTTAAAATGCTGCGGCGCAGGCGGGGCGGGCGAGCGGCAGCGGCGCGGCGGAGGTGAGCGTGCCACAGGGCCGGGAGGCGGCCTGGAGGCGCAGTCCCGAACGGGGGAGGCTGTGGTGAGGCGGGCGAGGGAAAGGGAGAATGTCGCTTATCGGAGAGAGCCCCAAAGAGCGGCTGGAAGGGGTGTCGGCTGATAGAAAGGACCCCCGAGGAGCGGAGGGAGGGCGTGTCGGCTGATGGAAAGCGTCCCAAGGAGCGGTTGGGGAGAGTGGGGGGTGTCCGCTGTTGGGGAGGAGCGGCCAGAGCGCTTGCAAGGTCCGGTGGTGGGGAGGCCGGCGGGGCCTGTCGGAGCAAGCTCAGCCCGGCCGGTGGGCACGGCTAACGCCGCCCGCCCGCAGGACCATGGCTCAGTTCCTGTTCGAGGCGGACCTGCACGGGCTGCTGAAGCTGGACACGCCGATCCCGAACGCGCCGCCTGCGCGATGGCAGCGCAAGGCCAAGGAGAGCGGCCCCGGGCCCAGCCCCGTCGGCGTGTCGCCCATGAAGCCGGCCAATCGCTCCCACAGCTCCAGCAAGACGCCGTCCAAGACACCCGGTGAGCGCCGGCTACCAGCGGCAGAGGTTGAGTGCGGGAGCCTCGCCCAGGCTGCTTGTCTGTAGCCATGGGGCTCTGGGCTCCCTGCCACGCTGCCCTACCGGCATGCTGCTCAGGCAGGAGGAGGTGGGCTGTGCTCCTGACAGCCACCCACCTCCTTCCCAGCAGGAGGGGCAGAGTTCTGAGCACTGGGGCTGGCGAGCTGCTGATCGCCCAGCTGAGCCTTGCTGGCACAGCTGCATGCTGGGACGAGTGTGGGCGGGACTGTCAGCTGACAGCTTTACATCCTGTAAGCGTTTTTGTATCTTCCCCTTATCTCTGGACTCTGGAATTGTTGCACTAGACCCAAGGAGTTGCTCCACACAGTCCCTAACCAACTTGGTGGCAGGGAGGAAAATATAAGTTAGTTGTGACTGGGTGGCATGAGATCTCAGAGTCCTACTTGTCTGGTGGGTGTGATATGAAAGAGTGCTGGGTTTGCTCTCGTGAAAGCTCTAATACAGGCTGTTAAATAGCTGTAAGACAATATTTTCATATGCGAATGCAGGTAAATCTGGATCCAAAATTCAAAGCACCCCCACAAAGGCTGGGGGGGATCGCTACATTCCCAACCGCAGCACTATGCAGATGGAGATGGCAAATTTCCTCCTAACCAAAGAGAATGACCCTGCTGAGGATTCCCCTACCAAGAAGGTGAGCATGTTGCTAAGTTACAATTACTTCAACAACCACTCCTCCTTCCTGCCCCTTTACAGAGCAGTAAACTATAGGTTCTATCGAGTGGACACATGAGACTGACAAGTCCCAGCCATCACTACTTGCAGCTCTGGGCTTCAGGAACCTAGGATGAGATTGAAGCTGTAGAGACTGCCATGCACTCTAAGCCTATGCTGCTTCTGGTAGCAAAATTTAGCTTTTGACTAATGAGGCTTTGAAATGTAGCAGGCAACAAAAACACAAAGCTGTGAGCCTATGCAAAGTGAAACTGCTGGTGGTAGCTATTCTAGGACAATGTCTCCACAGGGAACACTTCTGGAATGTTTTACACTGTACTCTGAAAATCTGTTTATGAAGCATTTGGTCGCTTTGTGGCTGTGGCTTTTCCCACTGTCAATGACACTGAATTTGCCATTGTGTGAAAATGTGAGCAGGACAATGCATGAAAGTCTGAGGAAAAACTGCTTTGACCTGGCTGTGTGTGACTGACCCTTGCAGCACAGTCAAACATCTTCGGATTCTAAGAGAAGGGGACTTAGGTGTCTATTTAAATTGCAGTGTGGGAGTTGTTTTAAATGCATTGCACTGAGGGTGATTTGTCTCCGTAGGAGCAACAGAAAGCCTGGGCAGTGAATCTGAATGGTTTTGATGTAGAAGAGGCAAAGATCCTCCGCCTCAGTGGAAAACCACAAAATGCTCCAGAAGGTATGATACAGGGTCTGTGTGAGCTGAATCAGCAGGAGAGATCAGGTCAGGGGAACAGCAACACAGAGGCTCTGTGTGGTCACAGGAGAAATCAACTGGTTTCTGAGAGCTGTACAGGCTGGAGTCTCCTTTCTTAAGGTTCCTGAGGTCGAGGGAGGGCATAACAGTTACAGTGAATTTATTTAGGAAAGTTGCTATGACTGCCAGTTGGTCACTGCAGTTGTACTGCAGGTTCCAAACCTTCATGAAGTCTGTAAGAGCATCAAACTCTCTGCTGTGCACTTTCTAGCTTAAACTGCAACTAAATATAATGGGATTCAAAAACCCAAGTGTTTGTTAAATTTGTTTCCATGAATGAGGAAATTGTAGCTCACCCCTGTTCAGCAGTTCATACTGCCAGTGATTTTAGCGCACTGCACTCTTGTGAGTGTTTCTCTTAGGACTTTATTTTCACTCCAAGGGATTCCTAGTTGGGTGAGCAGCACTCAGCTGGGAGGAAACTAACTCAGGTTAACAAATCTGTTCCTCTGCACACAGGCTATCAGAATAACCTGAAAGTGCTCTACAGTCAGAAAATGACACCTGGATCCAGCAGGAAGAATAGCAGATATATTCCTTCAATGCCAGACCGGATCTTGGATGCACCAGAGATCCGCAATGACTACTGTAAGTAGGCTACAGGGTTGAGTGCTGGGCATCCAGAACATTCTGCACTGGATTGCTGTTCCTAGGACAGTGTAACTGGGCTGCCTGTATTATTTTATGTACCCAGGCTAGCACAGACCACTTCTGAAGTGTCCCTATGAGCCTTACAGAGCACTGTGTAGATGCCTTGGAGCAGGGTACCTGGCCCCAGCAGCTGGGCATAGTGACACTCAGAGGGCTGCCCCTCACCTGTATGTGTGTGTGTGCACATGTGCACCCACACCTGCTGCATCAGCATGGGTGAAGGGCAGGGCTCTCTAGCTGAGCATGGTGTGACCTGCATTGCTCTTTCAAATTGTAGATCTGAATCTCATAGACTGGAGCTCCCAGAACTTCCTGGCAGTGGCTCTGGACAACTCTGTTTATCTGTGGAATCACGCTACTGGGGAGATTATCCAGCTGCTGCAGATGGAGAATCCAGATGTTTACATTTCCTCTGTGTCATGGATTAAAGAAGGAAACTACCTTGCTGTTGGCACAAGTAATGCTGAGGTTCAGGTGAATGCAGGAGTAAAACTGGAGGTGTTTTCTAGGGATTGACAGAACTGTGGGGCCTGGGGACAAAACCTTGGCTGGCAGAGGAAGGATGCTATGCACCTGACTTGTCTTCCCTGGTGTTGGGTGGAACTGTCCAGTGTGCAAGGCAGGGTTTGGTTTGGGGGTTTTCTGATACATAGCATTACCTTCTGTGCTATAGTCATGAGATACACATTTTCTCTGTTCCCTTACTGAGAAAGCTGAATGCCAGAGCCTGTGCAGCGAGGTTCCTAGGGCATAGAAACAGGATTTGGTTTCTTCTGAAGAACTTTTTGCTTTGCCTCTCTAGCTCTGGGACATTCAGCAGCAGAAACGTCTCCGAAACATGACCAGCCATTGTGCCCGTGTGGGAACCCTCAGCTGGAACAGCTACATCCTCTCCAGGTAAAGCAGAGAGTCAAGGGCAGTTTGCAGTTGTTGCGAACTCCTATCCCTCAATCTATGTGTGGCATGGGTTAGGGATGGCAGAGAGAAGTTTGTCCTGGCTTGGGATTCTTACTCAGCCTTATCTGTTGGGGCTGTGAGGAGAAGGCCTCTTTCCTGTATTGCAATTTGTGCTGAAGTTGTAAAGAGCTTATGTGGGTGTTTCACTCACACCAACAGACCAGTGTTGCTGGTAACACTGGTTGAAACCCAGTGGCAGGTATAGCAGTCTTGCAACAACAAAAATGGATTTGGGTGAAATTGTGCAGCCTGACCCTGCAAGCCTTCTCTTCTCTCTGCAGTGGTGCACGGACTGGGCACATCCATCACCATGATGTCCGAGTGGCTGAGCATCACGTGGCCACCCTTGCTGGCCACACACAGGAGGTGTGCGGACTCAAATGGTCTCTAGATGGCCGCTACCTGGCCAGTGGTGGCAATGACAATCTGGTGAATGTCTGGCCATGCACCCAAGGTGGGGGTGGAGACTTTGCTCCTGTACAGACCTTCACTCAGCACCAGGGTGCTGTCAAGGTGAGCACAGAGCTGCCACGGGCAGATATGTGTGTGCAAGGCAGGCATGCAGCACTGGCTGGGTGCAGGTTGCCTCTTGTATGTCTTAAAATGAACTCTCCTCTCTCAGGCTGTGGCGTGGTGCCCATGGCAGATGAATGTTCTAGCCACTGGAGGTGGCACTAGTGACAGACATATCCGCATCTGGAACGTGTGCTCTGGCGCCTGCCTCAGTACTGTTGATGCCCATTCCCAGGTGAGAGATGAACATCAGCCTGGAGACAAACACCTTCTGGCAGCACACCTACACAGAGCTGCTGGCTCCTCAGGCCCAGAGGCACAGGGAAGGAGGGGGACCATGCTCGCCTCCAAGTGGTGAGCATCAGCACAAGCATCTTGTCTCACCTGTGTTACTGCCTCTTTGCAGGTCTGTTCTATCCTGTGGTCAACAAACTACAAGGAGTTCATTTCAGGCCATGGCTTTGCACAGAATCAGCTGGTTATATGGAAGTATCCAACAATGACCAAGGTTGCAGAGCTGCAAGGTAGGTGGACAGAGCCTGGGTGGGGGGGGCCTGTTAGAGGTTGA